GGTTTATTTGATTTTGTCTTCTCGCAACGCAATCCTCTCAGTTCCGGAACCAGTCCGGTGAGACACCACATATTCCATCTCTTATCCTATCTCCTATTCGCTTAGCGAGCGGTACGGCTATTCAGGCTTACAGCAATATCCTAATGATTAGCTCAGCTTCCAACAGCCTTGTTGGGTGATTAGCGAGTATAAGGACTCGACACTGGCGCCTGGTGGTCCAGGATTGGTCTCACCTCATAGAAACGCGTCAATGATTCCCAATTCAGATTTCTACATGCAGTTTATGTTCTGCAACATTGCGTATCGCCAGTGATGCAACCTTCCATCCAAAGATAATGGTGCTCACAGCGACTGTTGTGGGTCGCACATTCAATAATAGACTGCTTGATCCCCCCCCCCCAAAAAAAATGTTCACGGTTTGTACTTTAAACTGTGTGAGGGCGCAAGAGAATGAAAGCCACAGATCCATTTAATATTTTCGAAGCCATGGATAATACAGATGTGTATTAAATTAAGCCTAAAACCCTGGAAACACAAACCGAAACTGTCTCTATTTTCCGCTTGTTATAACTTGTAATAAAGTTGTTACATCTTGGCTTAATGTGTTTATGACGTATTAGAACGTTGTTACAACTTGCTATATTGGTTGTTATAACTGGTTAGTAGGTGTTAAAACTTGTTCGAACGTTGTACCAACGTCGTAGTTTCGGTGTGTGTTTGGCGGGAATGGCGAGAGAGAGAGAGAGAGAGAGAGAGAGAGAGAGAGAGAGAGAGAGAGAGAGAGAGAGAGAGAGAGAGAGAGAGAGAGAGAGAGAGAGAGAGAGAGAGAGAGAGAGAGAGAGAGAGAGAGAGAGAGAGAGAAAGAGAGAGAGAGAGAGAGAGAGAGAGAGAGAAGAGAGAGAGAGAGAGAGAGAGAGAGAGAGAGAGAAGAGAGAGAGAGAGAGAGAGAGAGAGAGAGAGAGAGAGAAAGAGAGAGAGAGAGAGAGAGAGAGAGAGAGAGAGAGAGAGAGAGAGGAGAGAGAGAGAGAGAGAGAGGAGAGAGAGAGAGAGAGAGAGAGAGAGAGAGAGTCAGACAGACAGACGCCAAACCCTAGCCACGGGCGCTGATATACACCTCATTCAACATCAAAAAATCTGTTTTGACTAAAGATTTTCCCGAAGGAAAAAATAACACGTAACTGAAGAAAATAATTCTCCCTTACAAGCGACACAGAGAGAGACCCAAATAAACCCAAAATGAAAAATAAACACCAGGAAGAACTCACACACCAAAAAACCCGTCTTATTAGTTCCAGACACTGTCCACGAGATGAAATAAACACCACTGAACTCCATTCACAGCATCAGAACCCACTCCCCGTCACCCTTCCGTCAATACGACGGCCGATCGCCGACGGATGGATCGATTCCCCAAAAACCCCAGAGACCGGAGTAGGATCAGAATCCAATTGAGACGGAACCTATCCCCTCCCCCCCCCCCGCAACACAGAGGATCAGAGAGAAGCCGATGTCGCGGAACTTGTAAATGATCGCGATTACATAATAACGAAATGGTCTCTCCTCCGCCCCCCCAACCCCCCCCTCTCTCCCTCCCTTTCCTTTCAACATACCCTCTCAACACCTCCCTCCCATCCCCCCCACCCCCCATCTCCATCCCATCTATCCCCCCTCCACCCCCCCCATCATCCTAATCCCCCCCCCACTCTCCATATTGTCTCCGAAGGAAAATTACTATAATTTCTATTATTTATATTTATATATCTCCTCTTGTAATTACGATCTCATTTCCGCTAAGCAGAGGATAGTTAATATCTAATGAACACGAAATTGTGCGGATTGGACAGGCGACAGAAGACCACAGACAGAAGTGACGAGGAACATGACGCAGGAAACAGGTTTAACGCATCGTTTTTGGCGTATGGGAAAGATTTTGTGTGTGTGTGTGAGAGAGAGAGAGAGAGAGAGAGAGAGAGAGAGAGAGAGACAGAGAGAGAGAGAGAGAGACAGAGAGAGAGAGAGAGAGAGAGAGAGAGAGAGAGAGAGAGAGAGAGAGAGAGAGAGAGAGAGAGAGAGAGAGAGAGAGAGAGAGAGAGAGAGAGAGAGAGAGAGAGAGAGAGAGAGAGAGAGAGAGAGAGAGAGAGAGAGAGAGAGAGAGAGAGAGAGAGAGAGAGAGAGAGAGAGAGAGAGAGAGAGAGAGAGACAGAGAGAGAGAGAGACAGAGAGAGAGAGACAGAGAGCAACAGCAGGCCACAGACGGGTGACACAGCCACCAATCTTGACTGTACCTCGTCTTTATTATCCCGGAATTACTCGCTATTTCCTAGAGGGGTTGTTCCCCCCTCCCCCCCCCCCCATCTAACCCCCTCCCCGGATAGGGGGGGCTGGGGTTAGGGGACAGGAAACATAAGTAGGGAGGGACGGAGAGAGAGAGAGGGGGGAGAGGGGGAAGAACTATCCACTAACGTCATCCTGAGCGCAAAATTTGCGTGATGTTTTCCCCCGGAGCAGAGGACGAAAAACAGAAAAATATTTATAAAATGCTCTCGGAGTGTGTCTGCCGTTCTGCACTGCTGCCCTCTGTCCAATGACGGGCAAACGTTTTAGGCGCCTCGCAATCCCCTCAAAACATGGCTTCCATTAACCAATACCCCCACTAATAAACAGCCCCCTCAAACCGCCTCAACATCGCATATACCGCCCTAGAGAAGTAATATATATACACATCATCACTGACTACAAACCGAAAAAGTATATTACGAAATTATATTCAAGTCAGGTGCCGAAGCCACGGCCGGGCCCCGAACGCGTCCGCCTCCTCATTCATTCACACATAACTGCGCCTTTCAACAATTATTTTACTATGGAAGCTAAAAGCCCAGCCGTCAGTTGTGGGACAATATTTTGGCTTTATTTAGTCTTTATTTGCGGCGTAATGGACAGCCACGACAAATACCACCCGATTGTGGACCAGCCCACTGGAAAAAGCCCTTAAATTGAATGAAAGGCGAAGCTTGCCGAGCCGCTAGTGGGAATATGGTCGGTGTGTGTGGGGGGGGGGGGGGGGGGTGTGTGGGGGGGGGGTTAGTGTGGGGGATGGTGTGTGGGGGATGGTGTGGGGGTGGTGTGTGGGGGTGGTGTGTGGGGGGGTGGTGTGTGGGGATGGTGTGGGGGGGGGATGGTGTGGGGGGGGATGGTGTGGGGGATGGTGTGGGGGATGGTGTGGGGGGGGGGTGGTGTGTGGGGGATGGTGTGGGGGATGGTGTGGGGGATGGTGTGGGGGGATGGTGTGAGGGATGGTGTGAGGGATGGTGTGGGGGATGGTGTGTGGGGGGTGGTGTAGGGGGATGGTGTGGGGGATGGTGTGGGGGGTGGTGTGTGGGGGATGGTGTGGGGGTGATGAGGGGGATGGTGTGGGGGTGGTGTGTGGGGGATGGTGTGGGGGGTGGTGTGAGGGAATGGTGTGGGGGATGGTGTGGGGGATGGTGTGGGGGATGGTGAGGGGGATGGTGTGGGGGATGGTGAGAGGGATGGTGTGGGGGATGGTGAGGGGGATGGTGTGGGGGATGGTGTGTGTGGGGTGGTGTGGGGGATGGTGTGGGGGGTTAGTGTGGGGGTTAGTATGGGGGATGGTGTGGGAGATAGTGTGGGAGATAGTGTGGGAGATAGTGTGGATGATAGTGTGAGGGCTGATGGTTGTGCTGGGAAGAATGACCGAGGTGTCTGAAATAGGTGTATGTATGTATGTATGTATGTATGTATGTATGTACTCACCTATATGTGCTTGCAGGATCGAGCATTGACTCTTGGATCCCGCCTTTCGAGCATCGGTTGTTTACAGCAATGACTCCTGTCCCATTTCCCTATCATACCTGGTTTTAAAATTATGAATAGTATTTGCTTCCACAACCTGTTCCTGAAGTGCATTCCATTTCCCCACTACTCTCACGCTAAAAGAAAACTTCCTTACATCTCTGTGACTCATCTGAGTTTCAAGCTTCCATCCATGTCCTCTCGTTCTGTTACTATTCCGTGTGAACATTTCGTCTATGTCCACTCTGTCAATTCCTCTGAGTATCTTATACGTTCCTATCATGTCCCCCCTCTCCCTTCTTCTTTCTAGTGTCGTAAGGCACAGTTCCCTCAGGCGCTCTTCATACCCCATCCCTCGTAGCTCTGGGACGAGTCTCGTTGCAAACCTCTGAACCTTTTCCAGTTTCATTATATGCTTCTTCAGATGGGGACTCCATGATGAGGCGGCATACTCTAAGACTGGCCTTACGTAGGCAGTGTAAAGCGCCCTAAATGCCTCCTTACTTAGGTTTCTGAATGATGTTCTAACTTTTGCCAGTGTAGAGTACGCTGCTGTCGTTATCCTATTAATATGTGCCTCAGGAGATAGATTAGGTGTTACGTCCACCCCCAGGTCTCTTTCACGCGTCGTTACAGGTAGGCTGTTCCCCTTCATTGTGTACTGTCCCTTTGGTCTCCTATCTCCTAGTCCCATTTCCATAACTTTACATTTGCTCGTGTTGAATTCTAGTAGCCATTTCTCTGACCATCTCTGCAATCTGTTCAGGTCCTCTTGGAGGATCCTGCAATCCTCATCTGTCACAACTCTTCTCATCAACTTTGCATCATCCGCAAACATCGACATGTAGGACTCTACGCCTGTAAACATGTCGTTAACATACACAAGAAATAGAATTGGTCCCAGCACCGATCCTTGTGGTACTCCACTTGTTACTGTTCGCCAGTCCGACTTCTCGCCCCTTACCGTAACTCTTTGGCTCCTTCCTGTTAGGTAGTTCCTTATCCATTCTAGGTATGTATGTATGTATGTATGTATGTATGTATGTATGTATGTATGTATGTATGTATATATGTATGTATTTACCTATCATTTCCTACCTATAAGTAAGCAAGGCGTGAGTTCCAGCTCCTGATACCCTGCCAATAGTTACATCCTTGTCCCCATAACGTTATAACCTAACTATCCTGACGTTCAAGCTCTCTGTCGAATCTCTTTGGCCTTAAAATTGTGGATGGAGGCGGCTTCCTCACCTTCCTCTTCCAGTGCCTCCCGCTCCCTGAATGATACACTTTCCTCTTATGACCTATACTTTCTCTCAGTTCAAAGAGGATGTCCATGTTCACCTTCTCTATTACCTCAGGTGTATTGTGTTCATATCCTCTCAATTATATACTCTCTACTACGGGCTCACCATAGCCCGTGCTACTTGGAACTTTTTGTTCCGAGTAGCGAATCTTAAACAACAACAACAACCTCTCAATTTCAAGGATAGTTACAGAGAATTTAACCTAACTTAACCTAACGTAACCTAACGTAACCTAACCTAACCTAACGTAACCTAACGTAACCTAACCTAACCTAACCTAACCTAACCTAACCTAACCTAACTTAACCTAACCTAACCTAACCTAACCTAACCTAACCTGACCTAACCTAACCTAACCTAACGTAACCTAACGTAACGTAACGTAACGTAACCTAACGTAACGTAACCTAACCTAACGTAACCTAACGTAACGTAACGTAACCTAACGTAACGTCACGTAACGTAACGTAACGTAACCTAACGTAACCTAACGTAACCTAACGTATCGTAACCTAACGTAACCTAACGTAACCTAACGTAACCTAACGTAACGTAACGTAACCTAACGTAACGTAACGTAACGTAACGTAACCTAACCTAACGTAACCTAACGTAACCTAACGTAACCTAACGTAACCTAACCTAACGTAACCTAACGTAACCTAACGTAACCTAACGTAACCTAACCTGACCTGACCTAACCTAACCTGACCTGACCTAACCTAACCTAACCTAACGTAACCTAACGTAACCTAACGTAACCTAACCTAACGTAACCTAACGTAACCTAACCTAACGTAACCTAACGTAACCTAACCTGACCTAACCTAACCTAACGTAACCTAACCTAATCTAACCTGACCTGACCTAACCTAACCTAACCTAACCTAACCTAACCTAACCTAACGTAACCTAACGTAACCTAACCTAACGTAACCTAACGTAACCTAACCTAACGTAACCTAACGTAACCTAACCTGACCTAACCTAACCTAACGTAACCTAACCTAATCTAACCTGACCTAACCTAACCTAACCTGACCTAACCTGACCTAACCTAACGTAACCTAACCTAACGTAACCTAACGTAACCTAACCTAACCTAACCTAACCTAACGTAACCTAACCTAACGTAACCTAACGTAACCTAACCTAACCTAACCTAACCTAACGTAACCTAACCTAACCTAACCTAACTTAACCTAACCTAACCTAACCTAACCTAACCTAACCTAACCTGACCTGACCTAACCTAACCTAACCTTGGCAGCTTAATTACAAAGAAGTAATTCAGTTTTTGTTTTGGTTCACCGTGAACAGCCTGACAAATAAACATTTGTTTCTGTTTCTGCCCGGGATCGAACCCGGGCCCGTAACACTACGACCCTAGAGCGCTGTCCACTCAGTTGCGAGGCCCCCCTCCTGTGTGTGTGTGTGTGTACTCACCTAATTGTGCTTGCAGGGGTTGAGCTTTGGCTCTTTGGTCCCGCCTCTCAACTGTCAATCAACAGGTGTACAGGTTCCTGAGCCTATTGGGCTCTGTCATATCTACACTTGAAACTGTGTATGGAGTCAGCCTCCACCACATCACTGCCTAATGCATTCCATTTGTCAACCACTCTGACACTAAAAAAGTTCTTTCTAATATCTCTGTGGCTCATTTGGGCACTCAGTTTCCACCTGCGTCCCCTAGTACGTGTGCCCCTTGTGTTAAATAGCCTGTCTTTATCTACCCTATCAATTCCCTTGAGAATCTTGAATGTGGTGATCATGTCCCCCCTAACTCTTCTGTCTTCCAGCGAAGTGAGGTTTAATTCCTCACTGTGTGTGTGTGTGTGTGCAAAGTTTGGATGAATGGCCCCCCAAGCAAAGTTGTCATTCTCAGGGTCGTAAAGAAGTGGAATGCACTAGATGAGGAAGTTGTCCAAGTCAATTCAATTACCCAGCATTAAAAGCAAATATAGTAAGAAACACGAGTGAAACGAGACACTACATTGACCAAACGATGGTCGAAAGGCGGGGCCTAGGAGCACGCGCTCGACCCTAACAAGCACAACCAGGTGAGTAGACACAATCATCTACAACACGGCTGACAGTAACTTCTTTTTTACACGAAATAAGTGAAAATAAACAACTACAAAGATCAGGTATTATATCAAGGTAGTGTGTCTCTAAGACTGTTGTGGAGAGCTAGAGCTTAACCCCCGCAAGCACAACTAGGTGAGTACACACACACACACACACACACACACACACACACACACACACACACACACACACACACACACATTACAAGATTCACATATTTTTGGATTGTCAGAAAGCCTTTGATACAGTACCACACAAGAGGCTAGTCAAAAAAAGCTAGAGATGCAGGCTGGAGTGAAAGGGAAGGTACTCTATTGGATAAGGGAGTACCTAAGTAACAGAAGACAACGAGTCACTGTGAGGGGTGAGGTCTCAGATTGGCGAGACGTCACAAGTGGAGTCCCGCAGGGGTCAGTCCTTGGACCTATACTGTTTCTGGTATATGTAAATGATCTCCCAGAGGGTATAGAATCGTTTCTCTTAATGTTTGCTGACGATGCAAAAATTATGAGGAGGATTGAAACAGAGGATAATAGTAGGAGGCTACAAGATGGCCTAGGCAGACTGAGTGAATGGTCCAACAAATGGCTGTTGAAGTTCAACCCGAGTAAATGCAAAGTAATGAAACTAGGCGGTGGAAACAGGAGGCCAGACACAGGATACCGAATACAAGATGAAGTACTTAATGAAACGGACAAAGAGAAAGATCTAGGAGTTGATATCACACCAAACCTGTCTCTTGAAGCCCATATAAAAAGAATAACGTCTGCGGCATATGCGAGGCTGGCTAACATCAGAACAGCATTCAGGAACCTGTGTAAGGAATCATTCAGAATCTTGTATACCACATATGTAAGACCAATCCTGGAGTATGCGGCCCCAGCATGGAGCCCGTACCTTGTCAAGCACAAGACGAAGCTGGAAAAAGTTCAGAGGTATGCCACTAGGTTAGTCCCAGAACTAAGAGGCATGAGTTACGAGGAAAGGCTGCGGGAAATGCACCTTACGACACTGAAAGACAGAAGAGTAAGGGAGACATGATCACTACCTTCAAAATCCTCAGGGGAATTCACAGGGGTAGACAAGGATAAACTATTCAACACTGGTGGGACGCGAACAAGGCGACACAGGTGGAAACTGAGTACCCACATGAGCCACAGGGACGTTAGAAAGAACTTTTTCAGTGTCAGAGTAGTTAACAGATGGAATGCATTAGGCAGTGATGTGGTGGAGGCTGACTCCATACATAGTTTCAAGTGTAGATATGATAGAGCCCAGTAGGCTCAGGAACCTGTACACCAGTTGATTGACAGTTGAGAGGCGGGACCAAAAAGCCAGAGCTCAACCTCCACAAGCACAACTAGGTAAGTACAACTAGGTAACTAAGTACACAGAGAAAAGGTTCAAAAGTTTGCAACAAGACTCCTCCCAGAATTGTGAGGGATGAATTATGAAGAAAGACTGAAAGAATTAGACCTGGCATCGCTAGAAAAAAGGTGGAAGGGAGTGTGGAGAGACATGACACAGACATACAATTCTTAAGAGGGATTGACAGTGAAAAAAAAGAGGAAAAGTTTGCAATGAATACCAATAGAGCAACAGTGGATGGATGGAAACTTGAGTAACGGATGGACCGTAGTGGGGAATGAAATGAACTTAGCAAGTTGCAGAAGCGAACGCCATACATAATTGTACACGGACTCCCTTCATGCAGGTCGGCGTTCAATCCCCGACCGTCCAAGTGCTAAGGCACCATTCCTTTCCCTGCGTCCCATCCCAAATCCTTATCCTGACCCCCTTCCCAGTGCTTTATAGTCGTGATGACTTTCTCCTGATAGTTCCCTTTGCATTCATACATAATGTTTTAGCTAAATACGATAGAGAAACGGGTCGGGAGGTTATCTTGAGATGATTTCGGGGCTTTAGTGTCCCCGCGGCCCGGTCCTCGACCAGGCCTCCACCCCCCAGGAAGCAGCAGCCCGTGACAGCTGACTAACACCCAGGTACCTATTTTACTACTAGGTAACAGGGGCATAGGGTGAAAGAAACTCTGCCCATTGTTTCTCGCCGGCGCCTGGGATCGAACCCAGGACCACAGGATCATAAGTCCAGCGTGCTGTCCGCTCGGCTCCCTTTGGAGTCATTACATTAAACAAATGGCTAGAACAGACGGGACCCAAGAGCTAAAGTTCGATTCCGCAAGGCACAAGTCCAGCGTGCTGTCCGCTCGGCCGACCGGCTCCCGTTGGAGTCATTACATTAAACAAATGGCTAGAAAAGACGGGACCCAAGAGCTAAAGTTCGATTCCGGAAGGCACAATCCCAGCGTGCTGTCCGCTCGGCTCCCTTTGGAGTCATTGCACAAATGGCTAGAAAAGACGGGACCCAAGAGCTAAAGTTCGATTCCGCAAGGCACAAATCCACTCCCCGGCTCCTCCTACCAGACACACAAACATAAAAGAAATATGCAAATCTTTTTTTTCTTCCCCCCCCCCCTGGCTTTAGGCCTGGCTGGCGACAAGTGGAGGCCGGTGACAAGAGGTGATGTGGTGGACACGGCCATGGGGTAAATATAATGGGTATAATGGTGTATAATGGGTGTAGAGGCAGGAGAATGGGGGAGTGGTGGTGGGGGGCGACACAATACGGCGCCTAGCGACACACCGCATTTGTTACACTCCCTGCCAATCAGCTGGCGGCGTCTCGCGATCCCCTGATGTGGTCTTGGCTTCGGCACAGATGCCCCTAGTGCTGATATATATAATTTGATGAAAATATATAGTGTTTTTTATTTTTTTTTAAGTGTCGGATGTTTATATTTGCTGCTAAAAGATGTAAACATTATGTAAATAAATTGTCACAATATGATAAAAATACAGATAAAACATATTTCCTCTACAACGTAAATAACTAAAAACAAAAAAATATTTTTAATATACTCAAATATTTTATACATTTTAAATATTTTAATCCCTCTTTATCTAATCATAAAATAATAATTTGCGTCAAATATTTACAGTCCAACTGCAAAAAAAATACAAATAAAATATTAAAGTCAAAAAAATAATCGTATCTAAGATTAGTTCGAAGCCAGAGTCGGTAATCCAAACACGCGACTTCCCGGCGAGGACAACATGAGAGGGAAATCGACGGCACGAGGACCTGATAAAGTCATAAATCCCCGGGGGGTTAAACTAATATCGCCTCTATCACCATACGATTTTGAGATGAATTTGAGTGCAAATGACACGACCGTTTAGGGCTTAAGGACCCTGAGGAATCCAAGAGACAAAAACCGAACTTATGATACACTTTAATAGGAGATATTTTAGAGTGTGTTGATGGCGGCTGGGACAGAGAGAGAGAGAGAGAGAGTCCATTGATGTCGTACTTGAGAAATAAGTGAATATAAATGCCTTTTTACTCGACATTGTATTAAGGGTTGATGCTGTGTACATAATATGTTTATAATGGCCAACATATGTAGGCTGTTCACTGTCGGATCACCGTGTTAGGGCGCCCTTATGGGGCCCCCTTGTGAACATACAGCAAAAGGTTCACATTTCAAGCGCGATGGATAGGCTTCATGGTCCGTAAGATATCAGTTTTAGTCAAGAAATTGAACTTAAAGCGATACAGTGATATAGTTTTTCGTAATTAATCATGTATGGGAGAGTCGGTGTTGCTATAGTGGTGTCTCACCACTTCAGTTTATATAGTGAATACTGTGATGCTATATGAGTGATATAGTTGGTATAATGAATATAGTGATGGTGAGCTTCACGTTGCTAGGCCATTCACATGCAACTATGCATAATTGGGGAGTGCATTCTAGATGCATATGTACATAAATGCATCGTATGCCTACCATACATAACATCATAATACTTGGCATACATAATTGCATAATATTCACTATACAACTGAATACGACAGAAAGAGTAAGATCAATGACTCGAGCAAGAAACTAGTCTATATTTCTTATGTTCTTAGCTTGAGAAGAAAGGTGGACAACCTGTCCAAATAACGTCGCAGGTCCTCTGGTAGGTTAGGTGGGCAGGAAATTTTCATAAAGTTTCAAATTTTTATGACAAAATGTTAATTGAAAGTTTCCTTTCCTAACCTTTCCGAGTAGGCCGGATGACTCAAACAGAAAACACCGGTGTTCCACTGGGTAATATACCCGGTCCACTCCTCTTTCTTATGTATATCAATGTCCTGCCCAATGGCCTGCCCAATGTTCTGTACAATGTCCTGTACAATGTCCTGCTCAATGTTCTGTACAATGTTCTGTACAATGTCCTGTACAATGCCCTGCCCAATGGCCTACCCAATGCCCTGCCCAATGTCCTGCCCAATGTCCTGCCCAATGCCCTGCCCAATGTCCTGCCCAATGCCCTGCCCAATGTCCTGCCCAATGTCCTGTACAATGCCCTGCCCAATGGCCTACCCAATGCCCTGCCCAATGTCCTGCCCAATGCCCTGCCCAATGTCCTGCCCAATGCCCTGCCCAATGTCCTGCCCAATGTCCTGCCCAATGCCCTGCCCAATGTCCTGCCCAATGCCCTGCCCAATGTCCTGCCCAATGCCCTGCCCAATGTCCTGCCCAATGCCCTGCTCAATGTCCTGCCCAATGCCCTGCCCAATGTCCTGCCCAATGCCCTGCCCAATGGCCTACCCAATGCCCTGCCAAACGCCACGTAACACCTGAAGCCAATTTCTATTTACTGATGATTCAACTTTCATTTTCTCAAATGCTGAACTGAAAAAAAACACATTTATAAATGACTACTAATTTTCACCCATAACATTGAACAAAAGTTTTACATATTGTTTGGAAACAAGTTCACCAATCATATTGAACTGAGAATTAACAATCTCCAAGATGAGAGCAGAATATTTGGGAAGTTCCTCGGTGTTCACGTTGATAACAGAATGAATTGAATATATATATATATATATATATATATATATATATATATATATATATATATATATATATATATATATATATATATATACATATATATATATATATATATATATATATATATATATATATATATTGTATTTCCATATACAAAATACCTTATCTTCGGCAACCACGCCTCGGGATCTAATTGACCTTCGATTCGCAATTATTGAACATCAACCAGCAATTAAAACAATAAGAAACCCCCGATCAAAGCCAATACTCAGCACCCTTACTGAAAATCTTTGAATATGTTACATATCAAAGCACAGTACACACGCTCAAGCGAGCTCTCTGTCTGTAAAACTGTGCACTACAATTCTATAATCTTGACACTACACACAGAAATCACAATAGCGTGATGCATCAAATGAACAAATCCACAAGGACCGTGACGAGGATTCGAACCTGCGTCCGAGAGTATCCCAGACGCTGCCTTAATCGACTGAGCTACGACAGGGTAAAAGAATCTACGTCGAGGGTTCGACGTAGGTTCGAACCCTAGTGGATTTGTCCATATAATCCTGACCTTAAACGCTTCCTAGAAGGCTGCAAGAGCACCCATGGCCACCACAAGGGAAACAAATATGAATTTGATATTGCAAGAGGGAGACTTAACTAACCAAAGGAGGAATGCCTTGCAACTCAAGGGGTCCTGAACTGTACATTGACCGTCCTAATGAAACTAAAAACTACACGTCTCTAAACTAGTTTATAAAAGAGAAACTAAGACAAGGCAATCACGACAAGAGAGCACTAAAGCACTACGTCTATATAGCACTTGGAGAGGCTGCGACGACAAGGAGCTGGGATAGAACTGAGGGAAGGAATAGTGCCCAACCACTTCCGCTCTCGAGGATCGAGGACCGTCCGCAGTTAAGGAACTAACAAAGAATCAATTACCATTATATAACCAATTTCACTCACCTTTCCTACATCCTACATCCTACATAGGGGCCTCGTAGCCTGGTGGATAGCGCGCAGTACTCGTAATTCTGTGGCGCGGGTTCGATTCCCGCACGAGGCAGAAACAAATGGGCAAAGTTTCTTTCACCCTGAATGCCCCTGTTACCTAGCAGTAAATAGGTACCTGGGTGTTAGTCAGCTGTCACGGGCTGCTTCCTGGGGGTGGAGGCCTGGTCGAGGACCGGGCCGCGGGGACACTAAAGCCCCGAAATCATCTCAAGATAACCTACATGTTAATTAGTCTTTTGCTCTAATGTTAAACATTAAATACTGTAAATGTTCTCGTGTTGTAACTACAATTTTTATATTTAAGTAGTCTATATATTTCATCATTAAATGTTACTAAAATTTTTAATTTTTTTTTTTTATAAATTTCTTTGAAATATGTTACTTTATGTCTCGTTTATTATTAATATATGTTAAAGGTAAACTTATAAATAACCAATTTGTGTCATTATTATTTTTATTATTATTATTATAATTATTATTATTATTATTATTATTATTATTATGCAACTAATTAGGATTTCATAGTACCTTCTATACATACACATAAATATACACAGGTATATATATATATATACATTGAGAGGTGTCTCTCCTTTCTCTGTATATATACATTGAAGGTATACTTTATTTCTGCACTAGACTAATAAAGTACACGTGCTAATTAGTCAATAATCCCTTTAGGCGGCCTTAATACCCCTTCCATAGGTTAATGGACCTCATAAGGTCATCAACAAACCAACCAACTATACATAAATGCCTACGTCTCTACTGGTATTAATCAAGGCCAAAGAATACTATTTGCTCCGTAATTAAAAATCTCATAATTAGCATTTAATTAATAATGTCACCTGTGTCACCCTCGTCCGACAGCCAGCCATCACGGCTGTGTCTTGAGACAAGGTGACATACGTCACAAACACGTCAGTCGAAGTCGAAGTCGCTGTGATGGACGGATTATTCGAACACCGACGGATTATCCGGACACCGACGGATTATCCGGACACCGACGGATTATCCGGACACCGACGGATCATCCGGACACCGACGGATCATTCGGACACCAACGGATCATCCGGACACTGTCAGATCATCCGGACACCGACGGATCAACCAGACACCGTCGGATCATCCGGACACCGACGGATCATCCGGACACTGTCGGATCAACCGGACACCGTCGGATCATCCGGACCCCGACAAATCATCTGGACACCGTCGGATCATCCGGACACCGACGGATCAACCGGACACCGTCGGATCATCCGGACACCGACGGATCAACCGGACACCGACGGATCATCCGGACACCGACGGATCAACCTAACACCGACGGATCATCCGGACACTGACGGATCAACCGGACACCGTCGGGTCATCCGGACACCGACGGATCATCCAGACACCGACGGATCATCCGGACACCGACAAATCATCCGGACACCGTCGGATCATCCGGGCACCGTCGGATCATCCGGAAACCGACGGATCATCCGGACACCGTCGGATCATCCGGACACTTTCGGATCATCCGGACACCGTCGGATCATCCGGACACCGACGGATCATCCGGACACCGACGGTTTCCAACACAGACGTTAATTGTTGACCTCTCCCCCCTTTTCCCCTCTTCTTCCCCCTGACGACACACGCGCGCCATCTGTGGTCCTGGTTGGGAACCACTGACTGTGTCCTTTGGAGTAAGGGTCATTTTCCAAAGGGGTCATTTTCCAAAGGGGGTCATTTTCCAAAGGGAGTCATTTTCCAATGGGGTCATTTTCCAAAGGGGTCATTTTCCAAAGGGAGTCATTTTCCAAAGGGGTCATTTTCCAAAGGGAGTCATTTTCCAAAGGGGGTCATTTTCCAAAGGGGGGTCATTTTCCAAAGTGGGTCATTTTCCAAAGGGGGTCATTTTCCAAAGGGGGGGGTCATTTTCCAAAGGGGGGGAATCTTTCGATTCTGTTGGGGGGTTTCTTTATTAATTCGTCTGTAGTCAATGCTTGGGTTTTGGGATTCTGTAGTTTTTATATTTTGTTGGCTAATGTAGAAACAAAAAAAGATGCGTTGATGTCTGATGTGAGGGTTTGTGATGTTTGGTTGACATCACTTGCCAATTGAAGCTTCAAAGTAACAAAAATAATTCAAATGAAACTACGAGGGATGTCTAATTTAAACTTTTAAGATACTGAAGTATTTAGAGGGGAATCTATGATATGCAAAAAAAAAAGTAGAAGAAACAAATTATAAAGATGCAAAATAAAAGTATGAAAAGTAGACGCAAAACAAACATTAGAGAAGTTGACGCAAAACAAACATTAGAGAAGTTGACGCAAAACAAATATAGGAGAAGTTGACGCAAAACAAACATAGGAGAAGTTGACGCAAAACACACATAGAAGCAGACGCAAAACATAGCAGAAATAGACGCAAAGCAAACGTAGGAATGACAGGGAATGCTTGTTTACAGCGTCGTAGACCACTGAAATAGTTAACCACACGAAGGGAAGTACGACAATTGAATATAGTAGACCTTTCACAAGTGGCAGGACAGCTATTTGAACAAACATAAATAGAATTTTAACTAACTTGTTTGAACGTGACACTAAAACTTGGTCCATGTATAGAGTAGCAACAGTAGCGTCTCTGTTGTAGCCTCTCTGTTGTAGCGTCTCTGTTGTAGCGTCCCTCTTGTAGCGTCCCTCTTGTGGCGTCCCTCTTGTAGCGTCCCTCTTGTAGCATCTGCTGGAGACATCAGCATCAGTTAACGTAGCTGCAAATATATTATTATTACATAAAGCAAGTCAGGGTCATTATTCCTTATTTCCTGTCAAATCTTGAAGCATCGTCTCCTCGCTGTGGTCTCCAAGCCGGTGTGCCTGAGGGTAGGGAGGAGGAGAGCCTTCCGGTATTCTATCCCCTTGTTCAGTCCTGGTGGACCTTTGAGGAACAACAGGGACGCTACAACAGGGAGGCTTCAACAGGAAGGCTTCAACAGGGAGGCCTTTGAGCCATCGACTAATAGTTCCTTCATTATCTCTATTTTTCCATTGACGCTGTTGTTCTCCGTCACGTCTGAAGTGAACAACCATCACCGCCTTCATTTGCAGAGTTCAATGCAACGGTGTTATCTCTGTTCCGTCCAAGGAACAAGGAGGATTCGATCCCCCAGCATGCTGTCCATCTCAAGTGACTGGGTTCAGGTTTTTTTGTGCTCTTGGAGGCCTGAAACCTCCATAGAGAGAGGAATGTACTGTGGTGGGATTCAATTTCATTTAATTATCGTTCGGTGATTGGGGGGAGAGATGGGGCTTGGGAGGAAATTATGGGGGGGGGGTAGGGGAAAATATTGTAGGGCAGGAGAGAGAGAGAGAGAGAGAGACAGAGGGGGAGAGAGAGAGAGAGAGAGAGAGAGAGAGAGAGAGAGAGAGAGAGAGAGAGAGAGAGAGAGAGAGAGAGAGAGAGAGAGAGAGAGAGAGAGAGAGAGAGAGAGAGAGAAACATGTGAATGACTCAGTGCGTTACTTCCCCGCTGGGAGCAATTCGATGGAGACGCAATGATAAGACGAGCTGCTTTGAACAAACCTTCATATCACCTTAAGATGGTTCGAATCCTCTTTTCTTCCCCCCCCCCTCCTCCCCTCCCCCCTCAAACCATTTTCTCTCCCTCCACTCATCTGGATGACTTGCATTAATCATGAATACCAACACGACATCGCTGTAATCCATTAGAGGAGATCGATATCACTTCATAATAGTCTCGG